TTGTTTAGAGAAGTCAGAGCTGGGGTGTAATGTGGGGGTTGGCAATTTTGTCTCATCACTGGGGTAATAAACAGACATTGTTGGAGACCAAGATATATTCCTCCTCCACACCCCTTTCGTACCAGAAAATAATTGTTGTTTTGTAAATCAGCAGTACAGTGACATAAAAACAAAGCCACAGCAAGCATCCCTTTCCTCTCGACAGCTCACTGAACCAAGGGCTTCTCTGGTGGCAGATGGCAGCCCGCAGGGGGCGTGCGGAGCTATCGCACCACACAGCCCATCAGGCTCCCCCATGGAGGGAATCTGGGAGGGCAGGATGCCAGCTCCCTGAAGGGCACTGAGGATCAAAGCTTGAAGATGAAGAAAGATGCAACCTGGGCTTTCAGTTATTTTGTTGCTAAAATTGGTATTGTTGGCACAGTCTGTCCCAAGTGCCAGTTGTCAAATAGCTATGGCAGGGCCTGGGTCTCTAGTGACCACTACAACCCTGGGGCCAGCGAGTTGCTCTGACTGACCCTGATCACCCTTTGGGCATTTCCAAGGGGCTTGTAACTTGGGGCTGCACCCACTGGTGGGACCATCAGAATGGGGTTATTTGTCTCAGGTGGCCAGCCTGCTTGTGCTGACACTAGGGTCACCACACAATAACTACCAGACCTCCTCAAGACTCAGAAGCAGGTCTTCCTACCATTGTCAAACAGTGGGCTCCAATCTTCACCATATGCACACTTCTTAACACTAGGCATTCCTTTCCTCCTTTCACTGGGGTTTGTGCTCCTGGGGAATGCAAGAAGGAACGACTGTCCCCAAACCCTCAAGGGATTAGGCATGGGTGCAAAGGCCCATGGGGAACTTTTTGGTGACTGGGGTGAGAACTTTTGGTTTCCTGCTGTGCTGCTGTGTGTGTGTTTGGTGGGGGGTCCCCAGCCGACTCCCTGGGCACATGGCCACCATTCACCCTGAGGGGGTGGGGGTTCTTTGGGACTCCTCCTGACAACTGGCCACCCACACCACAGCGCGTCGGGAGAAGGCCACACCAAGCCTTTGGAGAAGGCACTCCCTTCCCTCTGTTCTACACCCCCTCCCAGTCAGTCCCACTGGCTCAAGGGCTGTGAGGCTGGCTGCCATTGGCCGCGCCCCACAGTCCCTTTGTTTGAACCGCAGCAGCCGCTGGGAGCAGCTGCACTGTGTGAGAAGTGGGGCGAGAAGCAACCAGTCTGCTTGGGGCCTTCTCTTGGGCCCAGGAACCCGTTCCAGTTTCTGAGTCCCAGTCCCAGTTTTCCTCCTGGCTCAGGAGTCTTTGAGATTCAGGAAAATGAGGTTCCCAAGGCCCAACACTGCACTGCTACTTCGTGGCTAACTTGGCCCAGGGAATTGGGGGGGGGCAGTTGAAATGTCACCCGCCGGGATAAATATTAACAAAAAGCAAATGGACTTGCGTGGAGGCCAGTTATCAATCAACCAGACCGCAAGGCCACTTATGGCAAACACAACCCAGGTTGGTCACTGTGAGACTTTCTCATGGCCACCTCCTGGCCGAACATCCCTCCTCTAACCCCACTCTCTCCCAGGCTCTGGCTCTCCTCTAGGTCTTTCTGGGGCAAATTCTGGACGCGAAAGGGGCGAAGTCCCAGGTGTGGGAGACTGGGCAGTCTCCCCAGGCTGTTTGGAGGTACCCTTCCTTCAGGTACCTCAGAGTCGGAGGAGCCCAGCACCCACCTCTGCCCAACCCGCTGGGCCATGCCTCCTCTGTATCCGGTGCTCTGCCCTCTGGTGGGTGCGTGTTGCAGCCTCTTCAGATGCTGACAGCTCCCCTACTGGGGCCAAAGCCTTCCGAAATCTTTAATTGGAAACTAATCTCTTCAAGTCTTAATTGGCGCCCACGTCAGAGGCGGAGGAGCCCACCCACCCGTACAGTGCGGCCCGCCCACCCCACCTCAGATGAGATGCGGCCCCCAGCCTAGCTGCACTGTACTTTAATGGGGCAGCAGCAAGATTACATTGAGGGAACACGTATTGATTTTTTTAAAGGTAGTTAATTTGATGAGAATTTCCTCCCATCTCCCACCAAGCCAATGTAATTTTGTAAGGAGAAGGCGCCTCCCCAAACATGCTGCCAAGTGTGGAGGTTTTGACTCTCTGCAACAAGACTTCATGGAACCTCAGGTACAGGGAAGGGCATGGAGAAGCCACTCTGCCAATGAGCGAAGGAACCGCCCTGAGGGGTAAGGACAAGGTGGAGGGGTCTTTAGAGCAGCAGCAAGCCAAACTGCAAGGGACACCTCTGTGCGTGGAGGCTGGTGGTGAGAAGCCCCCTCCCCCAAGCAATGTCCCACAACCTTGGCGAAAGTGCCCTGCAATGCATTTGTTTAAGTCTGCGATCAAGCCTCCTAGGATCATCTGGAGAGTCTGGAAATGGCCTGACTCCCTCCTTACCCCATCTCCGAAATGAAAATATTAAAGGGAAAGCTCATGGTTTTTTAGTGATTTTAAAATAGGTCGCGGTTCCTGAAGTGTAATGAGATTGATTCTGGTTGGGCTTGCTCTGCAAGTGCCCCCAACCCAGCCTTTCCCACCCGTTTGATTAAGTTAAAGAGAGGAAAATTAAACACTCAAAGCTCCATCTGGGTCCTAGGATGCAACTCCACCTGGGGGTGGGCGCCAAGTTTTGTGCTGCCAGAGTCTCCGATTTTCCTTTTATTATTATTATTATTTTTTTTTTTCCCCAAAGAAAAAGGCCAAGTGCCTCCGGCGAGCATGACTAGTCTTAGGCGGCTGGGTGTCAGACTGTCACCCCTTCCATAGCCTCCTGGCTAGGGTGAGCACTGGCTGGCATGCCCACACCTCCCACAGGAGGGTCACAGTGCTTGTGCTCCCACTTCAACAGCACTGAGGCTCCCACTTGTGTAGTTCAGACTGCAAGGCTGGGTTTCCAGGGTTGGGGGTCATCTCTGAACAGAACCTGTCAGTCTGATTTTCCAGGGGGCGACAGGGGCAGTGGGGAGAGGCGGTCATTGAAGTCTCCAGCAAGCACCTTCGGGGTGTGGGGGGTGGGGCATGCTTCCCTAGGGGGGATCGCTTTTCATTTCCAATCCTTTCCTCCATTTCTCCCCACCCCACTGACTGGCCTATGTGAGCACTGCCTGGGTACAAGATTCTGAAGCTGGGCGTGAGGCTGACCTGGGCTTGTAAAAAAAAGCCACTAGTTTGGGGCCGGCAGAGGCTGAGCAGTCAGGGAGAAGGGTATCCCTTTCTTCCACCCCTTCCTGAACCTGAGCTGCCCTCTGGTCTCGGTCAGCTTAGCGGGGTGGGAGGCGATATGGTGGATGCACACAGGGCAGGGAATGGATTTGTGGGAGCCCCAGAGGACACCTTGTCAATCTCTCCCTTGCTTTCCTGTCCTCCTATCTCCACCTCGCCTAACTTCCAGGCACAAGCTGCAACAGCCTGCTGGGGATTTTGCTTAGAACCAGTGAGCACAGGGCTGGGCTGGAAAACCCCGTCTCGGCAGAGGCTCATGAACTCGACCCGCGGGAGGGAGGCCACCAGTGCCCAGACCCAAAAAGTGCTTTGGGGTTACTTCCAGATCCAGCGGCAGGCTCCCTGGCACGCGGGCACCTGCCTCCCTCTAGCTTCTCATTGGCCCGCATGAGGTGGGGGAGGGGGTTCGGCCTCTCGCTTTGATTTTAGACTGTGAAACGGCTCAGTGCCCCCGGCTCTGATCGGATTGACCGTCTCTCATTCTCCAGGGACGAATTAATGGAGAACGATCAGTTAATTAACAAACCCTCATTCCGGCTTTTACCTTTCTCTTGGTCAGGACTCAGGCCAGGGCACCAGGCTGAGACTGGGGCGGGGGGAGTAGCACCGACCCAGGAGTCAATCAAGTCGGCAGGGTCTCATCAAACCGTGTCCGCCCTCAGCTGCCCTTGGCTCTACCTCCCCGTGTGTCCTTTGCCCTCAGGGGTCGCGGAATCAGCTTGAAATATCTGGTGTAATTCAGACTGGGCTAAGCTGTCCCCTCAACCAGCTTCCTGGAGCCTTCCACGCACCTTGGCTTAGAGAGGCTAAGAAGGATAGGCGCTGTCTGTGCCGAGCCGGGGAGACCTTCCAGCTTAACTCCCGGGTTTTGGGGCCGGAAGACCTCTGCCCCAAGACTTGGGGGTCATGTTCACACTCCCACCCCCATACACGGGGATACATTCAAAACATAATGCAGAGGAACAAAACGAAATATGAAGTCGTAAATGAGTCGGCAGCAAAAAGAGGTCCTTGGGCTCAGCTGTAAGCTCCCTTGCTGCCCCTCCGCCCTCACCCTTACCTTGGCACTATCTGCCTTCCTCTCTTTTCCACAGCCGGTTACCAGGGCAGAGTGCTTGCTAACTCTTAAACAGCTTCGGCGCCAAACACACACCTTCCCGGGGGCTTCAGAACCTTCTGCCGGAACTCTCAGAGGGTGTTCCCCATCCTTCCCACTACTGCCTCGCGCCAAAAAAGTGTGTGGGGGGAGTCACCGCACCAAGTTCAGCCAAACGTAGGCGTGCAGCTCCGGCACGCTCCAAACCAACTCCCGGGAATGTGCCGGGGGTATGAGCGGGCAGTATCTGCGCACAGTTCCATGCAAGAATCGCCTCCCTCTTCCCAAACCCGGAGTGCCCAACTGAGAAGCGACGCACAGACCGTGTCCGGCCAGGTGCGGGGGTTTCTCTTAGCCTCTGGTGGCGACCGCTTCCAGCACAGTCTCAGAGCACAAATGCGTCCCCGCATTCGCTCAGGCAGTACGCGTGAGCTCCCGGAGCCTACCACAGCCCAATGTACAGAGTCCTGGAGGAGACGGTCTGCTCCTAGGAGCCGTCGCTAGCTCTACCAGGCCCAGGGAACTAGCCACCTCCCCTTGGGGAAAGGAGGATGGGATATGCGTGCCCAGCTCTTTTTCCTTCCCTCTTTCAGTCTCTTTAGCCTCCTCAATCCCTTATCTCCCCACGCGCCCAGCTCACCTGCTAAGCGGAGCGCAGACATCCGCTGGAACTCCGGCTCTTGCAGCCACTTCCACATCCTCCGGAAGGTCTCCCGGCCGGACTTGAGTTTGCTCCAGGGTTTGGGGTTGCGCAGCAGGTCCGAGAGGGTCCCTTGGGAGCGGCAGAGCACCCTTTGCGCGAAGATGGCCTGTGGGATGCTGTAGCGCTTGAGCTCGGTGGTGATACGCTGCGCCACCTCTTTGGTATTGATCTCTTCCATCTGCCCTGAATTACTTCCATTGCTGACCTGTGCGCCGGTCACCGAAGGGTTGGGCTCCCGGGCTGTGCCCAGGAGCTGCCCGTGGCCTTGGGCGTTCAGGTGGGCGTGGGGGTGGTGCGGAGGAAGGCCGTTGATGGGCACCATGCCGGCCGAGGTGGGCGTGAGGTGCTGCTCGCCGTGGCGGCCGAGCATGGCCGGGTGATGGGCTTCAAAGCCATTTGGGGTGAGCATCTTGTCAGTGGGCATGGCGGCGCCCGGGTGGGCATAGTGAGGGAGCCCTTGCTGGGAGTTGTGGATGCCGCCGAGACCGGAGCTGGAGAGGGGCGAGAGGCTCTGGCCCATGCCGGCCACGTCCTTGTGGTAGGGGGTATAGAGGTTATTCATAGAGGCCAGCCCGCGCTCGTCCCGCATGAGCGTGAAGCTACCGCTCACATTGCCCGCCAGGCGCTGGTGGTGGTGCGGGTGGTGGTGGTGATGGTGGTGGTGGTGATGGTGAGGGAACTTGTCCGAGACGGTGGAGATGGGCGGCAGCGGCTGCAGAGGGGTTAAGGTGGTGTAGGTGGTGGGCATGCTCATACCTGGGGGAGTCTCGCAGGCCATGGTCATGGTCGGGTGCAGGGGGCCGGCCAGGCTGTGCTCGGGGGCCCGGTGGTGGTGGTGGTAATCGCCGCCGCCGCCACCGCCGTCCAGCAAGGACGCCATACCCATGGAACGCGGGTGCGCGGGAGGCAGGTGGCTGCCACGGTGCGCCACGGAGCTTCGCGCGTGGGGACTGCCGCCCAGGAGGTCGGCAGGAGCGGGCACCGGCTCATGGCTCACCCCGTGCAGCTCGCCGATCGCCTCCATGGTCAGCTGCGCGTTCATCGTGATCCGGGCGAGCGGGCGACGGACACAACATCGATGAGGCCGGGCAGAGGCGGCTAAGGGCGCACGCAGTCCGGTCTTCACATCGGCTGCCGGCGACTGTTGCCTGCCTTCCTTCCTTCCTCTCACTGTGGGGTTCTGTCTCCCTCTCTGTGTGTCTCGCCTTCCCTCTCGCCCCCACCTTCCCCTCTGCGTCCTCGGCTTTTTTTTAAATATTAATTTCCAAAAAGGATCCGTGCCGTTGGGCGAGCGCGGCGCCCCCCGCCCCCCCCCCCCGCGGCCCCCGCCCCCCCCCTCCTTAGAATTCTGAGGCCCCCGGCTCCCCTGACGCAGTCCGCGCGTCTTCCGCGGCTGCTGCTTGCCGGCGCCGCTGGCCAGCTCCAGCCATGGCTCGGTTACTGTTGCAGACTCTGTGGCCGCGGTTCCGCCGCCGCCGCCGCCGATGCCGCCGCTGCCGCTGCCACCGCCGCCGCCGCCGCCGCCGCCACCGCGGCCCGCCCTCACGCCCGCCCGGCTCAGCGCGCAAGCGCGCGGCTCGGCCCCGCCCCCTCCGCCCCCGCGCGCGCGGCCCGTGACGTCCCTGTACAAATGATGAAGGTGGGGGGGGCCCGCGCCTTAATAGCGGCGCCGGATGGCCCTGGAGCGGCGCGCACGTGCGAAGGCCTGGCGTGGAGCGCGACCTGGGGCAGCCAACGCAACCCCAGGGGACTTGGCGCCCCTTTCGGCTTTAATGCTCGGGTGGGCTCTCACCCAATAGCACTTGCCGGACTCCCGTCCCGGGTGGTGCGCCAAGACTGGAAAGTCCTCACCTTTCTCTCCAGCTGCTACCTCTTGGTGTAGATTGCCCTCAGAGCCTCAGCCCGTGTCGTTACTCCTTCCACTCTGGCCCACCGAGCTGTATTTCCCAGAGGGCTTCTGGGAGCCCTCCTTCTCCCCATCCTCAGGTGCTTGGCAGTTTTGGAGGGAGGAGAAGTAAATATCTTAAATGCCTTGGTCAGCTTGGTGACTGTTGACCCTCTGCCCACCCTTCCACTTCCTCGGGCCAGAGAAGAGAACGCTCAAGCCAAGAATTCTGGCCCTGGCCATACCTCGTTGTCCCATGCCGCCTGGCTCCTTCTTCATCTCAGCTGATAATAAGGCGGGGTGCTGCTCCGAGAATGACTCTGTGTGTGTGTGTGTGTGTGTGTGTGTGTGTGTGTGTGTATGTGTGTGTGTGTGTGTTGGGAGTGGTGAGTGCCCTGGTGGGTTCCCACTTCAATTTCTGGGTGCTGGTGGGGTTGCCGAGGCTTGGGCTGTTCCTGCGGTTCCTCTACGGCCCTCCTGGTAAAGCACCTGGAGGCCGCTGCTTGCGTGAAGGACTGACGCCGGCAGAGTGGAACAGGCGCGCCGGTCTCCGCTTGGCCCGTAGGGACGCCCTCTTCCCGGAGTCCCCGCGAGAAGCCTCCAGATTTGAAAATCAATTCAGCTTCGGGCATAATTGTCCGCTTCCTACAATCACGCTCCAATCTGGAATCGAACCCGGTCCTTGGGCTCGGCGGGGACGCGTGGGGAGGCCCCCAGTGTGGGACGTACACCCGGCTACCACATGCCGAGGCTTTCTTTCATTTACAAAAGAAAGGAAAAAAAAATCCGTAACAAAAGGCAGAGCCTTGTCTGCTTAGGTGCTTTCATCCCTCAGAGAAAGGACAGATGTGCCCATTGTCCAGCCCTTGGCAGTTACGACCGGGTCAGCGCAGAGCCTCAGCCCGGGGCGAGCTGTGGTCACAATGGGGGACAGCCTCTCAGAGCCTGGGTAGCTGGATCTGATGTGGAACAAAGTGTGTGTGGCCTTTGCTGGGCCAAACTTAGACTGTACGTTCCTTTCCTGGGGCACTTACTGAATCAGAGCCCACCAACAGTGTCTCTGCTGAAAATGTTCTTAGATCCTAGGAAAGGCCGGCGCTGGGGTGGTGGGAGTAGTGGTGACTGTGTACCCTAGGCAGACACTTGAGCCAACCAATCCTTGGGGGAAATTTCCCACCAGCTAAGGCATGAGCAGGCTCATCTTTTTATCCAGTTCCCTGGCACAATCAGGGCAACATCATGATCCAAGTAGGTCAAGGCCAGTGGGTACAGTCCAACCTGACTTCTCCTTGAAAGCGGCGGCCATGTGCTGGGATTGGCTAATCTGCCTGGCTTCATCACCAGAGGCACTCCTATCTTGTCCAAATAATGCCCACAGAGGCCCAGGAAATGGGAATCCATCTCTGTAGACTTGGTGTCTACCTGCACAGTGAACATTTAGGAATTTAAGGCCCCCAGAGAAGAAAAATTGTGTGTGTGTGTGTGTGTGTGTGTGTGTGTGTGGAACACACTGACACAAAGGAGCTCAGAAAACAAAATTACTCTATTTGAACTTAGATCTACATCTAACTATTCATACACATAAACACAAAAGCATAGAACATATTTTCTGCCTAGTGGATCACAGTATATTGTTGGGAAGCTGCATCCTTGGTTCCTTCTTATTTTTTGGTTCTCTTTTCTTGTAACAAAGAGCATGTACCTCTCATATAAGACCGAACAGTGGGTTTCAGTAGCAGGCTACCTTTGAGCTAAACTGTTGTGTCTCCCCCACACGCCCCATTTTAATCACCTCTGAAAGGATTGATTTGCCCTTATGACAACGCTCTTCCCAAAAGACAGTTTGTTAAAAGAAAGAAGTAAATACCACTAAGTGCACAAATTGTTCATGGTTTTCTCTTTGTGTAAGTTATTAGGGACTTGATCCTGGAAACCTCCTTCACGTATGGTTCCCAGCAGGGCCCCTGGAGCTTACCTAAAGATGGCCGAGTTCAGGTGAGTTCAACACTGCCCCCACAAGCCCCATGAAAGGAGGGTCTGGTTCAGTGTTGGTCCCTAAAGAAGCCAAAGGAAAGATCTATGTTTGTTGAGTTAATATGTGTGCAGGACTTGCTTTGGTTTGCAAATCTCCCTAATCTTTCTTGGCTTTTCATGCCTTTCATTACCATTGTTTACCTGTAGTTGACTAAATTGCAGTGATTTTTAAGTAAACATTGTATTCTTATTTGACCTTTTGGAAAATTTTCCCATTACTAAGGATGTGTCATGAGTGGGAAGGATGCTCTTAGGCCTAGTTAAAGGTGAATGTACTTGTGTGTATGTGTGGGAAGGAGAGTTGATGGATTGCCAACTGCTGGAGGTGTGGGATAGCTTTTCATCATTTTGTCCCTCCCTTCCTTTCCCCTTTCCAGTGCCAGCACAATGCCTGGTATCCAGTAGGTGCATTATGAGGAATTAGAGCCCAAGGAGGAGTCCCTTAAAACTACTTGGTTGGTCAGTGTATGCAATTACAGGATGCTGTTCAATTTTTTTACAACAGCCAAGATGTTTGAGGGGAGGGCTTACTCTAAGCTGGTTAGATTTTGAGTAGCTGCAGGAAAATTAAAGAAAGAAAAATAGGGTCAATCACCACCATAAAATTACATTTGTGTATATATTTAGGAAAAAAGGAAATATGACTATGGACTGGATGCTTGTTACTGGCAATATTTTTAATGTGGAAACAAGGATTTCAGACCGCTTATTTTGTAAATGTCAGGTGGTGGTGCCTGGGCAGGTATAATCCTTCCTCTACTGAGTGGACCAGAGCTTGCCAGGCAACTCCACCATATTTAGAATAGAGACTGAGAATAAGGCCATTTTTTTCCAAATGCTGGCCACACAAGTTTCTCTCAGAATCTTCAATCAGTTTCAGAGTTCCTGCCTTAGTTTTTTTGGTGAGTAATAGAGGTGTAATATACCCCCCAGTCCCAGTTTTCAGGACTATTCCAAAGAAATGAGCCATCAAATGTTTACTTCCCATTTGTTGACTGCACAAACAGCAAACCTGGTGTCAGGGCAGAGTCCCCCATCCAGGGCTCTAAGGGGAGGCTGACTCCTCGGCCAGAGTCTCAGAATGGAACTCACCAGAATTTCTGATGCCTGTAGCATGTCTAGAATTAACCTCCTGGTGAGGAACCATTTCTTTGGTGTCTGGCAACAGTAGGGAACTTGATAACTATGAGATGAAGGATTTGATCCTGGGTGCTTCCTGCCAGCTTCTCCTGTGCTTCTTCACACCTCTGCAAAAATTTTATTCAGAAAATTGTTGTTAGCTTAGAATAGAACACCCATAAAATTCAAAGTGCCCTGGTGATTCACTATTGAAAAAAAATTTTTTTTTTAATTAGTCAATGGCTTCTTCCTACTCTCTGGGGGCCGAGGAAGTGGTAACCAATTATTCTAGCTCTCTTTGGTAATCTCTGATCTTCTATTTAGCATGTAGTTTTTATTCATCTGTTAGGTTAAACTTTTTCTATTTTTTTTAAGGTAAAAAAAAGAAAACCTAACAACCTAAATTATGGCTTTTGCCCATGACATAAGTATGTATGTGTATGAAAAATATATACATATATATAACTCTGTACTTTTGCACTCTCTTTGCATTTCTTACCCACCCTCTCTAAATCCCAAAGAGATGATGGCTGGTGAAGGGCTCTCTGGGTTTCTTACCCAATCCCCCCTGACTCTGGGTTCTAGAAGATTCGAAGTTTGCCTTCTGGGAGATGCAAGAGGCAGCAGTCTCAGGATGTTAGACCGGTCCTTGAGCGTCTCTGATTACTTCTTCTCCTGGGCCATTTTATGTAAACTAGAGGCGGCTTCTTTCCAGCTTAAATCCATTTCACTTTGGTGAGGGTTTTTTAAGGCCTCAGGCTCAGAGCGCTGAAGAGAGATGGTGTGTTCTGAGGATATTGTCCAAAGCTTCCGGGAGGTGCTCCGGCCAGAGGACCTGGCGTTGGACGCAGTCAGCTCTATTCCGGGAGAGTTGGCCTTCTCTCACCAACCCTTCAGTGGATTTTCTTTCGGGATCTTATCTCTATACGGTTGAAGTCTATTACAAAGGAGACCTATAATGGCTGCGGGGGAGCGATGAATTTTTTCAGTTCTGGGGCCATGGT